GGGTCGGGGGCTGGTGGGTGCTTAGGACCGTGATCAGCAGAGAGTAAATTAGGGACACAGAATGCCAAAGAGGACCCATGTGAGAATTTGAGATTTCAAAGCCTGTTGAACTGTGAACAAGGCAGGAGCATGTAGAGAAAAAAGGTGCAACTGCAACACAGTCCAGAATTGTGATTGGAAGGGGCCCTCCAAATATGTCAAATTGCATATTGATGACCAGTACATGTTCTCGCAGAAATGTGAAGCCCGCTACTTACCTCCTGACTGAAGGATTGTAAAAGGCTGTTTCAAGTAGCCTTGAAAGAGTCAAGAAAAAAAAATTCTCTTAACGTTTACTTGGCCTGTAGGGTTAAAAACTAAACCAAAAAATCAGCATAGAATTGCCCAAGCCAATGTATTGAAGCAGAAGTAAAAAATGACAAGGGGACGTGATCAAAGGCCTTCCCCTGCATCTGTTGTCAGCAGGAGGCAGGAAGAGTAAGCATAAAAGGACCAGATTCAGGTACCTTATACAGGTGAATAATGGAGGGAATATGTGGGAGTAATAGTGCCAGGATTTTGGTGAAAAGCTTTAGGTCTACGTTCAAGCAGTTTATTTTTTTTTTACCCGGCCATTAACATATCTAACAAAACACTCAACGTACATTTAACAGACCGAAAGGGTGTAAGTTCATTTCTAGGGTTTACATATAAGGGAACAGAATAAAGAGGTAAAAGGTCTATAGCACCCATTAAAGCTACAGTAAAATGTATAAAAAAGGTTTATAAAAACAGCTTGCCCCCTCGCTAACCATTTCTTACCTCCTACTTTAAGTTCTTGCAAGTTTCCATTGTATTGTGAGCAGTGGAAGAAGAGTCTGGCCTGACGTTCTGAACATTGAATAAATCCATAGGATGTAAGCAATTTTTCAATTATGCCAGTTTCCCGCAAAGCTGAAGTACCATTTGGGTACCCATTATGTCCATTGTTGTGGAGAAGATTTGGGTCAAAGCTCATCTAGTTTAAAAAGATAAATATAGTTATACATATTTGTCTACAGTATTTAAGGGTTAAAAGAAAATCCCAAACGGCAAACCCCTATTCTAAAACAGCACAACAACAGCTCACAAAAAAAAGGCACAATACCAGCTTGTAACAAAAGCAAAAACGTGAAATTATGATTTGCAAAAGCATATTGCGGAAATAAGTGGTAAACACAAAAAGCAATGTTCGAAAAGAAATAAGGGGGTGAAAAGTGTAAGAGTGACTAGTAAATATACAAGGAACAGCGTCAAGATCTCTGCTTTGAGTAAGGCAATACAAGGTTTTTACCCCCGAACTGATTATTGGCATTCTAATTTTCTATTTTGAAGGAAACCCAACCGGTTTTGCCCAAATCCATATTCTAAAAGTCAGGATCTACATAGAAGCCAAGACAAGCCGGACAGGAGTTTCTGGTCTTCATAAAAGAAATGCAAAAAGATTACATACCAACTACATCAGACAACCCAGGACTAATTAAAACTACAAAACATGATTTGTCTTCTCGGTAAAAACGGTTTCTCTGAGTACAACACAGGACACAGAGTTTAATCTTGAATGGATGCATTATGAAGCCACCTTCAGGTGATTAGCAACTTGCAAAACCAATGCAGTTAGGTCTCTGTGTAACCCCTCCCACTTTCAGCCTGCCTCAGTTTAGTCAAAAGCAGTACAAAGGCAGAAGCCAGAGTGTAGGGTCCTGTGTAGCACTCCAAGAAACTGACCTAACAGTTAAGATAAAACCCTATTTTCTTCATCAAAAAACACAGGAAGTGAAATCCTAAACAGATGAGACGTCCATAATCAGTCTCAAAACAGCTAACAGAACCATGAACACAACAACCCCAACAGGTATCTCAATTCACCTGAATATTTTAGCATGCAAAGCTAGAATCTTGGCAGAGGCCTGAACGATCACATGGTAAAATTTAGTAAAAGTTATGAACAGAGGACCAAATGTCCGGCAGATTCGGGAAACCGACGCCTGACGCTGGTAAGCCACACTACCCTTTACACAGGTTGATATGCTGCTTCCAAGGGTGGCACCAATAAAGGGATGCCACCCTAAGACAGGAAGCGTGTTACTGGCAGGATGACTAGGTGAAAAAAAGGAAAAACTAAATAAAAAAAATACCAGTACAAAAATCACATGGTATGGGAAGTCACATGTTGCCCAGATCTCCTTGCATGGGGGAAAGGGGATGTGAAGCTGGAGAGGGCAGTTTACACTAAACTTTGATCATTCCCCATTAAACATCCGGGTTATTTCAAAGCAAGTTAGTCATGCAACACTGCCCATCACTAAATCCTGATGAGTACCAAAATTGGAAACCTTTCCACTGCATGGCAAAAGATTAAAAAAACACACACACAAGAATAAGCTTAGTGTGTTATGAACAATCCATGCACACATTTACCAACTCGGCAAAGTCATGCTGTGTGCTTATACATGACCTGACTTACAGATCTTTGGTACAAAGGGGTCCTCTTCTGCTTTTTAGACCCACATGAATTGGATGTATGAGTAACAGGGATTGCAGCAGATGGGGTGAGGGGTTCTGATGACAGAGTATAGATTTTCTCCATCACATAGAGCTGTGATAAACAGTCACATATGTATATGAGAAGACGGCACCATTTTAATGCTACCCTACTCAAAGTGTTTATACACTATAACCCGCTACACCAACTAAAACGTGACAATACTTTAACCACCTCCCGTCCGCAGCCGTTGGTAGACGGCCGGACGGGAGTCTTGTAGGGAGCCTGCGGCCATTCCCACAATCTTCCCAAATGCTAGTTCTAGGTCAGTCAAAAGGCAATTGACCTGGACTAGCCTGCAGCACACAAGTCTAGGAATGACTGCTTCTATCCGAGCCTACTCACATTGCTTCATGGCAGACATATTAAAAAGAACTATGGGGTCAGTGTTTTTCCCCATAGTTCTCCTTAGGGTAACGGGAGGACACAAACTAGCGTCCTCCCGTTACCCTAAGCTCAGTATACCGCGAGCTGTAGCTCGCGGTATACTGAGACGCCGCAGCGGATCCCGACTTAGATGACGGGATCCGCCCAGCTGCGTGAGTGACAGCTGGCTCTGCCTATCTAGAGGCAGAGCCAGCTATACCCGCCCCTCCCCCATCCGTTCCGCCAGTCAGCGCTGGCAGATCGGAGCGGGGAATCCAGCCCCTACCCCTGTCACGGCAGAGAGCCGTGACAGGATAGAGAGGTGAGCGAACCCGGTATCTGTTCGCTTACCTCCCGATCTACTGAGCCGACCTGTGACAGTCTCATTGTCACAGGTCGGCTAGAACTATGAGGTGAGTGAAAAGCACTCACCTCATAGTTCTCCTTTAAGAAAAGTATAGTTACATTTACTTGTTACAGACCGCTTCGCTAACAACAACAAAAGGTGTTCCATCCTGCCAGATGAACACTTAAAAGGCCAATTTATAGGAGACAGTCATTGCAGCGCTTAGAGGAGGGGTCAAGAAACAGGTTTCCTCTTCCAGACTTTTTTCTTCTCCCATTTCCTACATGACAATGGTCACCAGGACAAAAAGGGAGGATGCCTCTACCCCAACAGGGGCAGCAATAAAAGTTTTGTCTATACATATATTTTAAAACAGCTACAAATCCATTTTAGATTATAATCTGAATAAGACTGTACAATGCCACAATGTAGGGCAAGGGCCTACATAAACATTGAATCCATTTGATATCCAATCAGGTAGGTCCTTGTCTGACAAATTAATGTAAATCCAAAAGGACATTGTACAATCAAGCTTTAACACTTTAGGCAACAATGACTATTACAGTAGTAAAAACAGTAATTTGTTTACATCTTTGAATATGACTGTAGAGAATAAAAATGTACATAGTCCTCAGTTTTCTTGTCCTCTGTGTTCTGGTAAACAGGGTTCTAGGTGGTGGAAATCAAACCCATGTATGTATGTATGTATGTATGTATGTATGTATGTATGTATGTATGTATGTATGTATGTATGTATGTATGTATGTATGTATGTATGTATGTATGTATGTATGTATTACTGCCATAAATATGCATAAAAATAGAGAGTAATAATTTGTCTGTGTAAAGTTTCTTCAGCTGCAGCATAGCTAGACAGCAAGACATTTTCTGCAGTCAACATATTCTACGATGGTATAAAAACTGTAAAGATAAATGTTAAAAACGATTCCTATGTTTTTAATCTCCTGCCGTCCGCACGTTGAAAAAACGGACGGCGAACTCGCATGTGTTGGTTGCCGTCCCCAGACGGGCAGGAAAAACCCGTCTGTTCTGCACAGCCGTTAACGGCTGTTTCACACACAACCGATCGCCCGTCCCCCTCACGTGCCGCCGCCCCCCCCTCCTGACCCCCTCACCTTCAATCCCGGGATCCGCTAGCCCATCTGTGGCCCGGGAGGGCGTCAGGAGGTAAGATGGGAGGGGAAGCAGCATCTTCCTGCTTGCTGATCTCCCTCCGTACTGTGAATGTGGAAGTGATGTGTATTACATCACTTCCGCAATCACCTGTCAGTCATCTGGCTGCTATAGCCAGAGAAAAGAAACTGATGAAGCAGATCTCTGCGTCATCAGCTTCTTTTGGGGTCCCCAGGTGACATTAGGGGTCCAAGACCCCTGTCACCATAAAGAGGACCTGTCAGTGTGCCTTTGCTATTATATAGGGGGATAGAGATCTCTATATAGAGATATATATCCCCCCGTTTACGCACATATAAAACGTAAATGTCAGCGCGCGAAAACGACAATTGCGCTACACATGTTACATATAGCCACAAACGTCACAGTGAGAGCAATCATTTTAGCGTCATCACTGATAACACTAAACTGATGAGCGGTAAAAGCTTTTAAAGCGTCGCCTATGGCCAATTTTGGGTAATGTATGAGGTTTCGCGCGTGCGGGCTTGACATGTTTGGGGTCTTTTTACCCGACGTGACACCATCTCTTATATTTTAACAAAAAAATTGGGTAATAATAAATGTTTCATAATTTAATATAGTGGAAACTTTAATTCTGTAATTTTTCCTTAATATAGTAAAAAACAAAAACCCCAGTGGTGATTAAATACCACCAAAAGAAAGCTCTACCTGTCCCCCCAAAAAAAGTATAACATTCAATTTCAGTACAGCGTTACATGACGGAATAAATGTCAGTCAAAGTACCGCAGCGCTGAATACTGAAAAATGGCCTGGATGGGAAGGGGGGGTTTATCACCGCGGACTTCAAGCGGTTAACATGCATCCATCTTATCAAAGCAGAGATTCTCTGATACCACACACCTACACTGTTTTTAGTGTTTTAAGAATCTTACTAGGTTTACAAAGTTCATGGTTGTGTTTCTTGATGTGCAGTGTTTAGTAGTTTTTCCTGTAACTACTTGTTTTAGGTTTTTTCGAAGTATAGCAAAAAAAAAAAAAGGCAGAACTTCACACCTAGGTAACATTTTTGTGCACTTCTTGCACGCTTTTACATGCATAAATCAGATCACATGTTTTTGTGATCAGATTATAACTCATTGATGTGAATGAGCAAACAAGCTTAACCCCTTCATGACTGAGCTTGTTTTTAGTTTGTTCGTAAATGACTGACAACGCAAAAAAACACGTTAAGCATTTGCATAGAAATTAATTGGATTTTTGGGGGCCATTTTTGGAGCAGAAAAAGCACTACAAAACACTGTAAACCAGGCCTTAAGCGGGAGCGGGTGGGGTTGGGGTGCTAGTGACAACTGTAAAAGTTGTGGATTCCCATGCCCAGCAAAAGGGTGAACCACCCCAGCACAGACAATTAAAACCAGACAGGTTCTAAGCCTTCTCTGCGCTGTTCTGTCTAGAGGTAGACATTTTAAAATATTACCAAGGGATACAACAAATTCTCATACTGCCTTCTATGAATCAGGCCATGTAGACTTATAGCCCTAGCAATCACAAACAGTTGGGATTGCTAGAGGTCTTATTTTGTAATGAGCAGTTGGGAGTGCTAGAAGTATTTTGAACATTCAGCAAGCACTACCTTTCCTCCAAAAGGAAAAAAACACTCCCTGCACTCCACATACAGTACTAAGAAAAAAAAAAAAAAGACAGCCAGTCGCAACACTACAGCAGTCTAGAGCAGAACAAGCACCATCTGCCCCTAAAAAAATCCACCTATGTACAGCCACAAATACTTCATTCATTTGTTTAATTCTCTACCAGATAGCGATTACACAATACAGCACACTATCACCAAAACTGCACGGTAAACAGGTGGAATGGATAAACAGTATATACACAATAGAAACAAGAACATTTTGAGGGAAAGTAGGGTTAAAATTAGACTGCACTATATTCTAACGGAAAACCACAAAATTCTGCTATTAAAAAGTTTAAGAGTGAATAATGGCATTTCAAAGAAACTGAAACATGCAAATTACTAATGGAGGAAAAAATAAAAAATAAAAATACTTAAAAAAAAAGAACCTAGATTGCAAGTTTGATATATGCAATGCAAAATAAATGAAATACTAATGCGATGGGAATGAAAAAAACAAAAACCTTTAGTTACCGTATGTCACTGTGGCATGTACCACAGTTTCCATGGGCTAAAGTGAGGGATAGATTATTAAACTAATACCGTGAAATAACTTACTGATCGGCCATAAGGTGATAAAGTCAGTCCGACAGGAGATGCATTGCCCAGGTTGGCACTAACGTATGCAGTAGGGGGAGAAGACGGCATGGAAAATTCAACAAATTCTTTCCAGGTGCTTGCCATATTCCTATTCCTGATTCAACTTAATTTTATAATGCTGCATATAACAAAATCAAACAAGACAACCTGATCAATTCACATGCAGCTGTAAATGAGAAAAGCTCGCAAGATGGAAGCTCTAGGGCAGTGGTGGCGAACCTTGGCACTCCAGCTGTTTTGGAACTACAAGTCCCATGAGCCATTGCAAGGCTCCGACAGCCACAGTCATAACTCCCAGAGGCAGATGCATGTTGGGATTTGTAGTTTTGGCACAGCTGGAGTGCCAAGGTTTGCCACCACTGCTCTAGGGTATGTAAACAGGTTAGGGATCAGGACTATGGACAATGAAATGCCAATTTATTTAACTCACTGTTATGAAGGGACACAGGATGGAAGATGGGCAGCAACACAGGAAAGACAAGAATACAAAGAGTCACAACTCCTACAAAAGCACTATACTCCAGCAAAATGAAAACAAAATTCAAGCAATACATATCCAAGCACACATACACCGCATCTTACAAAAAAAAAAAAAAAAACTCACTCCACACAAGTTATCGTACCATTCAAAAAGCATGTTTAACATGCGCAGTAGACAAGACAACTAGACAGCAGTCCAAAACGATTGGTCTGTAAAATTAGTGCTGCACAAAGCTTTGATATGCATATTACAACTGTGTTCCATCAAAAATACTGCTACATACAAAGCTTGATCCCTAAAACAAAAAAGTCTCAGTTGTACGAAGATGTCCTGCATAAGAAAAAGTTAGTGAACCATGCATTTGTTCTTTAACTATTTCCATTTCATATTGTTTTCCACACCCTCTTTTACTAGAAGAGTTACTTGTATATTTGTCCAAAACATTATCTATACAAGACTGATTATACTCTGTCCTGCTACCCGTTTCTCCTAAAGATGGCCATTTACTGGTAGAATCCCTGTGAATCATATGAAATTCTAACAAAGGCCAGAATTGACTTCTTGAAGGAGCCAGGTCAAAAATTGATAGACAAACAGTGAATACAGCCAATCATCTGAAGTTGCAGGACAGACTGCAGCTGTTCAGCATTGATGGAGGAATGAGTCAGATTTCTTTAGTTTGGGCTGCACGAAATTAATGTATGTCAAGCTTAACTATTCTCTGGTCCATCACTGCAACCACAGCATGCCTCTTAGGCATCGGACACTCTTTTAAAGTGTTGAATGCCTACGCCATGTGCTGGTTCCTTCCTCTGACCCTTTGCATTAATCCATGCCTTAATAGTAACAGGGGCAGGGGTGAATGGGAGAGGGACAAAAGAAAACCGCACACAGTGGGGGGATACAGGAATCCAACACTGACAGAAGTGGAGGAATTCCCAAAAGAAGCTTTCCAAGGCCACATTGCTGGAACTAAGGAGAGGAAGAAGAAATAGAATGCTGGAAATGAGGTTAATCTGTCCTCAACTGCAGGGAGCTTCAAGACTAACATTTAGAAACCCAATAAAAAAGTCTACCTAAAGATTTTGTGGCACAGGCCAAGTAAAGCCCTTTAGCAGCTCAAGTTGTATTCTATGTGCTCCTAAAGATTCTAAGCAGGGATCATGAGCACATTGTTATGTTTGGTCAAAATGGAGTATGGCAGAACAGCCAAGGAAAAAATCCAGTGGTCATTAGCAGTAAAAGTAAACAGATGTTCAGCAAGCACATTGCAGCAATGCCATATTTTAGTTGTGAAAATAGTATTGAGTGACCAGCTTTATAGATCCAGATCTGGCCAAAGGATTGAATCAGGATTTTTTTTTCTTCAATTAGAGAGGTCAGAACACTATCAACAGTTACCATCCAACGCAGTACAGTAATGCTATAAAGCAGACACCAAAGATATTAGAGAATAGTGGAAAGATTCGGTCCCAGAGGCGTCTGCACATAGCTGCAGCAGTCTCAATCCTCTTGTTACAGTCAAATCCCTAGCCATTCTAACAGGCAAACCTCAGAGTGCCCTTTCCTGCCTCCTACCATTTCTATTGGCCATTGAAGCAGCCTATCATTGTAGTAAATCAATGGAATGTGGGCGTTACACGTACCCGATACAAGCTCCAACACGACTTTATGCTTGATGTGTCCAAGCTTTGACCATCACTTAACAGCCCAGCATGGGAAGCTGCCGAGGTACATGCAGGCTCTATAAAGCAGTTTTTTTTTTGGTTTTTTTAAGAGGGGGGAGGGATCTTTCAGAGTACTGACAACTAACCCATTTACATTATCAAATGTTTTTAAGTGTCACTTGACTGTAAAAACACAGGATCAGATAAACAGTAAGGCACACCTAACAAAACTCGCTTTGAATCACCTTCTGCTGACTGTCTACTGCGCACTTGTCTTTTGTAAAATGAAAAAAATTGTATTCCACAATGCAAAAAGAAAAAAAAAAAACACCACTCTTTAAAGAATGAATTGAATCCATTAGAAAAATCTTAATATAGATTGAGGCAGATGGCTATAAAGATATGGGAAGCAGAGTGGTAATTGGTAGGCATTTTCTTACCTGAAATTAAAAATCATAACCTCTCCTCTACAAGTTTGCAGCCAAATAGCACAGTAACAAAAAGCATAGCAGTCACAACTACCGTATTAATTCAAATCCTACCACCTACAAATACTTTTAGTGATATTCCAGAGTGTCCCAAAACATGGGCCACTCCACCCAAGAATGTTTTCCTCTAGGTCTGGTCAGAGCTTTTTGTCTACACCTGACAAGATTCCATTGACAGGAATAGATTCGAGTGATGATACGATAAAAGGGAACTAAAAAGCACAAGGCATGAAATAAGGTTTATGGGCTTGAAGTATGGGAGACAGCCTTCAGTTCAAAAAGCTATATTGATGCACACAATTATGGCCTTTTAAGTTTTAGGCCATAAAAGAAAAACTTCAAGTGAAAGCTGCCAATTATATTTTTGCTTGTATAAAAAAGGAAATTATGCTTTTTGTGAGCCCAAGAGAGAATTGTTACCAGGCAGTAATTGCTAAACTGCCAGCCTGATTTTTCAGTGAGTGATGATTGGCCAAGTAGGCAACCGAAAGATCTGTGCTACAGCCAGAAGCTTTTCTGGAGGAAGCAAGCAAGGGCAACAAGTTTTTAATGCTACAGATTTACTGGGCCACATCATAAAATCATCTTACCAAAGTATTCGATTTTAAAACTTCCAAACTGTTACTTTACAGGTCTGCATCTGAAATACTGCATTCAGTTTTGTGGTTCCCATCTGCAACTTCCCATGCATCTGCCATTCAGTGACCAAAACTTTTTTATCACTGTATTTGACTTTCAGAAAACAAAAACCACATGAAGAAAAAAAAAAGAAAAAAAGGACTGAAAACAAATAATTTCTCAAAGGCCCTCCTGATTTACTACAGAGATAGTACCAATTCAAAAGCATTTTGCAACACTACATTTCAACTTTTACAATCCAAAGAAAGGTTAGGATAAATAAGCTAAAGTTATTAGGTATGCAACCAAGTTGTGAGCTTGCAATGAAGTCTGGGTACAGTTATTAAGACTTAAAACCCACCTTCTTGAAATACCAGGTATTGCACTTTCAGTAGTATTTACCAATTCTTGCGGCCAGCAGATGCTTCAAAAAGGTTGTCAGTTGCTAGTATTTAAAAAGAGACAGTGAGAAAATGATCTATCGAGCTAAGAAAGACAACTCCCGCTGCACAATGCAAAAGCAGAGTACAGCGCTGAGAATAAAACAAAGACTAATAGCAGCGTTGGGAAGTGCTCTTGTGTAGCTGTTAGGTAGGCACAAACTTCTTGTTTCAGATCAAGCGTTGTGTCTTCAGCGCAAGTTCTTTGGTGTTATTAGTTACGATTGTGGCAGATGTTCCTTGACTGATCTGAACTTGAAGCAGCGGTTTCAGGTGGTAGTTTCTGTTCTGTTACACTTCATACTACAAAAAGAAAAGAGATACATAATGTCATTTAAAAAAAAAAAAAAATTACAGCAGAACAAATTATAAAAACTGCTGAAATCACAATATTTTTTCCTCCATGCATAAATAACATATTGCCATAGTTGAAGGCTAAGCTTCTAACACCGACAGTACAGGAAAAAAAAAAAAAGAATGTTGTCTGGGGAAGGAGGAGGGTGGCCCCTTATACACCTTGCAGTGCAATAGCGACACCCAGGGGTGTGGAAGTCCTATCGCCCGACAGCCGGTACATGCAGTTTCGGGCACATTTTTTTTTTGTACATTTAGCCCTGCTCCGGACAAGCAGAGCTAAATGTACAGCGTGGAGCCGCCGCTAGTTTTTATACAAGTGATCTAATAAGATCACTTTAATCAATTGAGCAGCGGCGATCGTGTCCGGGCTCCCCCACCCCCGCGGTTTTCAGGGTCACCCGCTCCTCTGTCCATTCTTCTTCTGTTCTGTGTGATCACTGAGACCGAAGCGCTGTAATCACAGCGTCACCTATCTCAGCTGTCGGAAACTGCACAGAACATCTGTTCTGTGTTGGAGGGCAGGTTCCATAAAGAGAACCTGTCACCTCCAAACTATCACATAGGGGCTGATGTGATAGGAATAAAATGAAGTGGGGGGGGTACAAAATACTACATAAAAATAAGTGATAAAGTAAAAAATTTAAACCAACCCCGCATGCAAATAAACGCACATCTAGGACATTGTGTGCGTTGAGTGCTGCTGCCATTTCACTGTTGGCCATATTGTGGTAGCCAAGCAGCCGAACTCTCTAAAAAGGTGCCCATACACGTTACGATTATCGGACGAAACTTTTCGTCCAATGATCGAACCGTCGTACGATTTTCGTACGACGGCCCCATCCTGCCCCGATTATCGAAAGGTTCAATCAGCGGTAGTTAAAAAAAACACCTGGACGACTTGCGGTAATTGACCACAATTATTTTCATTTGCGGTTGTGCAGTGTTAATCGTACGACATTTGACGGACGGAAACGCCACCAACCATGTGAACATCGTACGATCGACCAAAGTTTTCAAACATGCTTGACCGTCAAAAGTCATACGATTGTACAGTACTATCGGTCGGGCACTCTATTCACACGTTACGATTGTCGTACAAAAAGTCGATCGCATACGATTATCGTAAGGTGTATGGGCACCTTTTCACTAACAATGTGCATTAAAGGGTAAGTTCACTGACCCAGGTAATATGGGAAAATGTAGCCCAATCAAATCTGGCCCGGTGTCTCCCAAACCCCCCAACTCATCACTGCATGAGGCCGCAGCTAATGTGACAGTATTGACAGCCACGGCTGCACTTCACCGACTGAGGCAAGTCCTTCCAGCATATGAGAAAAGCAAACTTGGCTCAGTCTCTAGTGCAACGTTGGCTGCCAATACAGTCACATTAAATGCTACATTTTCATGCAGTGCCAACTTTACCCAATCATAGTCCCAACATTTAAGTTTCCATCTTCCCATCAGCAATAGCTATAACAGCATGTTGGGGAAAACCCCATGCCCAAATGCTTGTCCCTCTTCTCGATCTGAAATTTGTCAGCTCCCAGACCATGACTTGTCCACATTGTGAAATACAAGCACAGCTACCACAATGCAAGCAAGCCACAGAGTATGGAGGGGCGATGGAGTCCCTTTAGCCAACGGGATTTTTGTTATACTAACCCCCCAGCCACAACCTCCTCTACTCCAATTAAAATAATAATAGTTTTACATGGGACCAGTCAACACTTGTTTTCTGTTATATATGGTTTAAAGTTGTTCTACTGGTAAAGTAATAGTATGTTCTATATTTTAATTGTTAACCACTTGAAGTCCGCAGTGTTAAACCCCCTTCCTGTCCAGGCCATTTTTCAGTATTCAGGCTGCAGTACTTTGACTGGCATTTATTCCGTCACGCAACGCTGTACTGAAATGAATTTACCACCATTTTTTGGGGACAGATTGAGCTTTCTTTTGGTGGTATTTAACCCTGGGGTTTTTCTTTCTATAGTAAAAAAAAAAAAAAAAAAAAAACTGTTTTCCCCTATATTAAATTATAAAAAACATTTACCATTACCCAATTTTGTGGTAAAATATAAAAGACAGGGTCACGTCAGGTAAAAAGACACCAAAACTGTCAAGCCTTAAAAAAACTACAATACTAAAAATTGGCCATAGGCGACGCTTTAAAAGCTTTTACCGCTCAGTTTAGTGTTATCAGTGATTGTTGGCCCTAGAAGTATCTCTCTCTCGTTCTCACAGACGTTCGCGGCGATATGTAATACGTGTAGCGCAATTGTTGTTTCCGTGCGCTGGCGCATCTGACACATTTACATTTATATGTGTGTAAACTTATTATGTGACTTATTTTTTTATTTTGTTTTACATTTAATGTTATTGCCATCACATTGGGGGATATGATAGCACAGGCTGACAGGTCCTCTTTATGGAGACATTAGGGGTCCCCAAAAGAAGCTGATGAAGCAGATCTGCTTCATCAGCTTCTTCTCTCTGGCTATAGCAGCCAGAGGACTGACGGGTGAATGCGGAGGTGATGTAATACACATCACTTCTGCATTCACAGTACGGAGGGAGATCAGCAAGGAAGATGCTGGTCTCCTTCCCATCTTCCTCCTGACACCCTAACGAGCCGGTCCCGGGCCACAGATGGGGCAGCGGATCCCGGTATTGAAGGTGAGGGAGCAGGGGGGCAGCAGTGGCACTCGGGGAGGGGGGCACACAGCCAGCACATACAAGCGATCGGCAGGCTATAGAGCCGCCGATCACTTGTATGTGAAACAGCCGGTAATGGCTGTGCACAACGGATGGGTTTT